GGGGGGGGGGGTGATGGTTCGTAGGACTTTATAGAGGTTGTTTGTAGGATCTAGCATGGGTCTATGGGGTCGAAAACAGGGACCTTAACAATTTTGAACCAGGCATGTCCTTTTTTGTAAGTCTTCGGGCTTCGATCGTGTGTGTTGTTTTAAGGGATCGGGGGCCCTAAACCCTAAACCCTAAACCCTAAACCCTAAACCCTAAACCCTAAACCCTAGTTAAGAAGTCACCGGTCTCGTGTGGTGTCAGAGTAAGGGCTCAATTTATGTACACCCTAGCACCAGGAGCCTCAACCCTGACAGCCCTAGGTTTAGGGTTTAGGGCCGCCTTTCGATGCCATAAAGCCCTTTGAGCGACATAGCAGAGAACCCCTCAACCATAAACCGGTAACCCTCAAGCGAACCCCAAAACCCTCAACCCTCGACCCCAAACCCTCAACCCGAAACCCTTGCCAGGGAACCCTTACGGAACCTTTAAAGGAGCCCGTCAGGGTGCTATAGAGTTCTATACTAGGGCCCCCTTTAAGGGTACTGTTTTTATAGGCTTCTATAATAGGGCCCCCTTTAAGGGTACCATAGGGTTCTATACTAAGGGTTCCCTTGTTCTTTTGGGGTACTATAATACGGTCCCCTTGAAGGGTACTATAGGGTTCTATAGTCGGCCCCCTGTAAGCGTACTATAGGGTTCTATACTAACGGTCCCCTTGTTCTTTTTGGGGTACTATACTAGGGTCCCCTTGAAAGGAGCCCTTGAAAAAACCCGTGAAGGAACCCTTAAAGAAGCCCTTAAAGGAGCCCTTACGGCTAAACCCACAACCCTAAACCCTAAACCCTAAACCCTAAACCCTAAACCCTAAACCCTAAACCCTAAACCAAAGGAACCCTTCAAAGGGCTTCACCCAAGCCCGACCTCAGGATCGCCAACCTGGGCCAGGAGGTGGAAAGCAACGAGGCTCCGTGCCCAACTAGGTGGGTAGTTGTCAAAATTATGGTTCCTTCTGGGGTACCCTAAATAATAGGTGCCGTATTATAATAAGGACCCAAAAGGGACCATAATTTTGACAACCTCCCAGGTGGGTTTAGAGTTTAGGGTTTCGAGTTTGGGCTTAGGGCTTCGAGTTTATGGCTTAGGGTTTAGGGGT